ATCTATCTATCTATCTATCTATCTATCTATCTATCTATCTATCTATCAGTTTTTCCCATGGAGTTTTCATACTTTCTAAAAAGACAACAGATATATAGATATCGATACTTTTGAGAATGAGTATCGTATCCGAATACGTTTTGGTATAGATACTTTTTTGAGTATCAATACTTTCTACAACCCTACTGCCATCTGAACTAGATAATATTGACATTGTTTTTGTAGAACAGCTAAAGGTTCTACTCGGCAGACCTCATTTTATGTGTTCTCCTGATATTCTTTCAGCTGGACTTAACTTCTAGGTGGTCACTGTGAGATATGGTCACAGAATAGTGGTCAGCAGAAGGCAGTGATATAGGTTTGTGTGCATGTATCTCCCAGCCTACTCCCACCTCCATGCTTCCCAGCTGGTTTGGTTCTTTTACTGGAAGGCTGCATGTCCTCTGTTCTGGCGACTAGAGAACTTAATCTATGCTTATTCTTCTTCTTCATTCTTCTTCATTCTTCTTCATTCTTTTTCTTCTTCTTCTTCTTCTTCTTCTTCTTCTTCTTCTTCTTCTTCTTCTTCTTCTTCTTCATTCTTTTCTTCTTCTTCTCATGTTTGGAGGCTTCCTTAGGATCTTGTGGTCTGCTCTCTGATGGCCAGACGTGGGCATGTTTGCAGTTATTTGGTGGAACCTCCACTTGTAGATGGTGGAATTGGGGATATGAAATTGTTTTGAGATCCGTTTTAAATCTCTAACTCATAAGCTGCTCATAAGCTCTTCTGATCTCACCTCCGCCGTCAGGAGCACAGCTCAGCACACGTCTGAGCTCTGAGCAGACTGTCAGCCTCATGTGACGCACGCCTGGGAGTTTAGACATTTAGAGTGGAAATAAATGCACCTTAATAAATTTAATAGATTATTAAATTATTTTATTTACCAGAAATAGCTTATTTTGGGTTGTTTTTCTTTCTTTCACCTTACAGACAAAATATTATCTTTAATTGTAATAGATTAGTTATATCACTCGAATCGTCCAGTTTTGTTCAAATTGATATTGAGAATATCCATATATTCAAATATGTTGAAAGACACAGGAGAAGATTGCAAAGGGTGTCCAGATGTTGTCACACAGCTGTACATTACATTAGATACTCTAAGCCTAAACATGGCACCAGTTTACCCGGCAAAAAAATCTGTTCGTTTTAATGTTGATGATCAGAAATCTTAAATACAGAGATCAGAAATGTAATGTTGAGAAATCTGAGTTCTCACCAAATCTTTACCACATTCACACCATGATCTTAATTTGAATCCTTTAGTTTTCTGCTTTTGAGAACCAAAGCAAAATACGAAAATGAAATCATGCAAAAGCTAATCGTCCCAAAGGACCTAGCAAAGGAGAAGGCCCAACAATAAGATGCATCAATGTCTGTATATCAGATTTGATGTTCATTTTTCAGTACTGGTGCTGAGCGAGAGGAATTCTTAATGGGAGGAATTAGTTCTGCCTGAAGGGCATTTTCTAGTGTTCAGTTCCACTGGTGCAGTGATCCAGTGCAGTACCCACAATGCACTGGGAGCCCTGCTGAATATGCTCACTGACCGGAAGACTACTACTCTGGTACAGAAGAAGCAGCATCCATTACTCACTACTATTTGAGCAAAAGGCCAGTTGACTGGAGGACAGAGCTCAGTCATCACCAGCTTACAGATAAAACCAGAGTCCCTCTCTTCTGCTGCCATGGATTATGAGTTGTCATGTTCTATGTACACTAATAGTGTGAAAGTAGTGGAGTACACACGAGATGCAGTTTAATCTCCTCCATCACCACAAGAATTGTGTGGATTTTTAATATTAAAACTAAAGCTTTTTTCTTTATTGGTCAGGGGTGATAGTTCAGATAGAATCAGCACAGCCAGGAGTTTTTTTGTCCATAAAAACATTAGGATACTGTGTTATTGTGTGTTTTTTTAACAGAAGAACATACAACCTGATTTGTTTAGCTGCAGCTTTATTTTGATCATGCACATGAATCACACTCCTGGTTTGAATCCTACCTCACTTTGAATCAAGGACTCATTCTCACCTCTCACTCAGTCTCACCTCTGCAGTTCACCACCTCCCCACAGGGGTCCCCCAAGGCTCAGTGCTGGGGCCTCTTCTCTTTGCCATATAGACCACTTCACTAGGCCAGATCATCCAATCACATGGCTTCTCACACCACTGCTAAGCTGATTAAACCCAGCTCTAATTCGGTTGGAGACCCGGGGGAACCAGGACCAGAGGGTTCTGGGTTGGAGTCCCGGGGGAACCAGGACCAGGTTCTCTCCGGGTTCTCCGGCTTCCTCCCACCCCATTAGGGATGGATGGACTGTATTTTAATGTGCCTAAAGATGGTATTTTATATGTGTAAAGCTGAATTGAACGTGTAAGGGGTTCTTGTGGTCTATGATAATTAAGGGTTTATGGTTCAAAGGGAGCTCTGACTCAGTGAAGGGTTCAGGCTTTACCTCGGCTTTCCCAGAACCCCCAGCACAGCTCAGCCAGGAGACCTGTTGGAGAATGAGGTCAACCATACCCCAAAGACCCAGCAGGGGGAGACCAGACCCAATACGCACACACCCACAGGAACCCTCAGGACCTGGGAGGGGAAACAGGTCATGGCAGGAAGACTACGGAGTTAGCATCTGTAGCTCAGCTCAGAAGGAGAGCTGTCTGCATCTGCAGCCATAATCTGAAAGGAAATCTTTATTTCTCTTTGTTTAGCTCTTTATTTAGCAATAGTAGTAGTTTATTTAGGTTATTTAGTAATAAAAAGCTGCAGAAGGGAGGACAAATCTCTTCTTTTTATTGATTTCTTTTGAAAAGCAGTTGTGTTCAGTCTGTTTGTGGGTGCGTTTTGTTTTCTTTGTCCTGGTTTTGGGTGTGTATGTTGTTTTTTTCCTGATCGATATTCTGTTATCTACACTCTCTATTTGATTGGATGTTTGTCATCCAAACATCACACATCCAGTCACACACACATATTGTTAGTTATCAGTCAGTAATGCTGGACTTCTATCACCTGTTTGGAGACCCTCTGCTCCCACTTTGATAGTAATAGTTGTGTAGCTGCAGATGCACTGTGTTGCCACCTTTTTGTAGTTTGTGTTGTTTAGTGTGTGCTGACACACAAACACCAGCAGAGGGAATCACCACCAGCCCTTCTGGCTGTTCGTTCACCAGTGAGGCCTCTCTGCTCTCCAGCATTGGGCCATAAGCAGCCTCTCTGCTGCCATCTGCTCCGGTCTGCTGGAGCAGGTGCTGAGTCTGGCCCCGCTCCCACAGGTCGGGACAACTACACTAGCACTTTCATTTCTCCCTCTTCTAAATGCTTCACTCAAATACTGATGTTGTTTTAACAAACACGCCATCCAATAGTTTCACAGAAGTGGGTAAAATGATCCCTTTTTCAGTGATTTCTTCTCTTATGCAGAGTATTGGAGACAGATTGCATCTGTGGGGAGTTTGTCTGTGGCCTTTCCAGCCGCTTCCTTATAAATGGTTTTAAATGCGTAGAGATTTTTAAGGTCTTCTTGTGCCTTGTGTGACCTCCATATAAAACAAGTTTTTTTATCTTAATAGAATGGGTATTACGGGAGCATTTAGTAAATCTGTCATATTTCTAAATTGCTCTGTGTGGTTTGCTTGACCTGCAGTTACAATATGCTCATATAAATATAAATATCAAATAATAATGATAATGTGAACTATCAAAGAAGGTCTGAGGATGAAAAATGCATCAAAAGAAAATGAGTGTTAAAGACACTTCAGGAGACAGGAAGGGATTCATATTTATGGATCTATTCTGTTATTTATTTTTAGCTTCTGTGTTAAAAATAGCTGATTGATGTCCTTTCTTTGCTAGCTCTACATCAGTAAAATCTTGTAGTTCGGATACTGTTTTGTAGATTTTATTCCAGTGCATCCCCTCAGAACGTTGAACAGAATCAGTCACAGATTAACAATAGCTCATCTCTTTGACGAAGCTTTCACCGTCTGAACTGAACCGTCCGAACCTCAAGAAACTGAGCAAAGTGTTGGATGCACTTCTCAGTTAGGACCTATTGTATGTACTGGCTTATGGTTTATCTTTCTTTTTAGAACAGATTAGATTCACATTTATTGACAGTGCTCATTTACAGATACAGAGCAATGAAATGCAGTTTAGCATCTACCCAGAAGGGCACTAAAGGGGATACAGGAAGTGGGATGGGTTGTTTATATGGCAAATGGACAGCGTTTACAGACGAGGACCATAGTACAGGTGACTGAGCAAAGGTGCTAAGAGCACATTATCCAGATGGATTCCTGCGTTAAATGGAGGTAGACTAGAATGTCAAGTCATTTTATCTGTACCCAATGCTACTAACTGAAAAATGTGTGAAAATCTGACTTATCTTGCAGCCAATAATCAGCTCAAACTAGGTTTCTCATGATTAATCTGTGAACTGTGTTTTTCATTTTTAATTCATAGCTTGTTTAAAACTGTTTGGAACTTCTTTGATGGATGTTACTGACTTGGGTTTTTTTGTGCTCCTCCAGGTAACATCATCATTAAAGAAACTTGATGGAGAAAACTAAAGGAATCCCTTTAAGATGACACGCACAGACCCGCCTGATATACTAGTTTCAACTGTGCATCAAGAGATAAAAGTGATCCCCATTACCTCACACTATAGATCGTTGCAACCCTCAAAACAATGTGAATCTTTAAATTCCGCCACACTGGAGGACAGTAAGAGCAAAGTCAGTAAGAGGCACCGTCGAACCTTTGACTACAAGTCGCCAGAGCAACCTCGATCAAAGACGTACTTCATGGAATCCCCGTATAGGAGGGCCGACCGGCAGGCAGCCAACCCAGAAGTGGCCTGGAATGCTTTGGGCCGCCAGCAGAGATATCGCTTCTCTGCTCCGGACATTTTCAGCCATAGATTAACTCCTCAGTCAGTGACAAAGGACATGTCCGGTGAGGTGGTTGCCCCCGAACACAAAAGAAGGACCAGGTCAAAAAGCGCTCCTCGGGTCCAGACCAGCCTCACTCCTGTGTCTTTCGAAGGGTCCTCGTCTTCAGGGAGGAAAGGAAGAGAGTCTCACAGAGCTCCTAAAGACTCTCGCTGGAGACCCGAGGTATCACCTCGCCGGGAGTCTTCCTATGCAGCAACCAGAGCTCACATGCATGAAGTCCATCCCATTAAGCTGCAGCCCCAAATTGGCGACAGCAGTCGATATTCCCCTCACTATGCGTCAGACAAACTGGAAGATGGAGGTTTGGATAAACCAGCAACGAGCCCTCATGTTAGGTGTCGAGTGGACATTAAGCCCGATGACATAGCATTACACCATTCAGGACAGAAACAGAGTTCCGCTCATATGGACATACCCTGGCAGAGGCAGTACGGTGTGGGAGGTAGGAGTCTTACCGTACCGCGTCATTTCTCCTACTCCAGAACCCCGACACCCACTGATTCATTGGGTACAGAGAGCAGGCAAGCTTATCAATATTCCCACAGTATGCCAAATAGTTACCTACAACACATGGAGCTTCCCTTACAAAGAATGCCTTCTTCAAGTAATTATTACGGTAGGGAACGCCGAGCCCACTCAAGTCCTAATGTGCCAACCAAGTTTTTTTATGCAGACGACCCAGGGAGATATGTGACCACTGCTCCTCCTCAACCGAGTTCTTATTTTCACGATGAAAGCTACACGCCAGGACAAGCATACAGCCCAAAAGTACAATATGTGCAAGATCCAAGGACTCGAATGGTGCACGCTGTAGCTACAAGACCATATTATCCGGAGATGGAGCCCTATCCGTACACTGTCCAGGCAGGGTACCCCAAACCCTATGCAGCAAATGAGCCCGGGCCATACATCATTAGGACACCTCCAGCAAGAATCTTTTACGGCGACGATCCAAGATCATATCAAATTCAGACTGCCCCACCGAGGTTCTATTACTCCAGTGACATGTACGCCATGCCTCCGGAGCACCACGTTCCAGCGAGGGCGTACTACACCGAGGGCAGAAGACACGCAAGAGTCATTCAGCCACAAACGGACGAGTGGTATGGCTCAGATGCGTCCGGCTATTCCACAAACCCCGCCTCCTACGTGTCCCAAGTCACTCCGACCAGAGCACGGCAGGAGCCTGTGCTGACTCCGTGGTACGCCAGCCCCTGCGTTGAACCTCCAAAAATCAGTACCGATTCCAAATCTTACTCAAAGTCTTGGGATAATATCCTCAACTCGCGCGTTGAAAGAGAACAGCCTCTCCCTGTGCAGAGAGGTCAGAGCTACGACGACCTTCTGGACTCCAGGAAGCCCTCCACGGCACCAGGCGACAGACCACAGCCAGTAGTGGTCAATCTCTCCAGTTCCCCACGACGCTACGCGGCCTTATCGTTGTCTGATAATTCGCTTATTGACAAAAGCCCCACAGAGACGTCTAAGAGCACCACTAGTAAGCTCTGGTTCGTCACTCCCGAGATAACAATCACCGATAACGATTTAAGACCGGGAAATCGTTCTAAGGTTGAAGGACGCTCTGCCAGTTGGGACATTCTTGACTCCAGAAGTACTGACGGTCCGGAAATGTCTCTGCCCGATTTTGAAATCTCAACCAAAGACAAAACCCACGACAACGCCACACTCCAGCAAAGCCTCGAGCAGCTGGACGAACTCCTGGCAGACCTCGTGACCGATTACAAGCCACCCAGCAGAAGGGCGAGCGAGGACATTCTGGACCAACTGAAGAAGTTAATCGATGAGGAGGAAGCGGTGTCTTTATCGAGGAAAAGCTCCAAGGCAGGCACAGAGGAACCGCCTCCCCTGGACAAGCAGCCGACGTCAATCAAAATAAATCCCGATGCTTTTCACGACGTGGACGGCTCCAGTGACGCGATGAAGAGTGCGGAGGAGTGCTCCCCAGACCAGAGCCCGGATGAGGACGACACCATGATGTGCTCTAACAACAAATGCCGGAGGACAGAGACCCTGTTCAACGCCTGCCTGTACTTCAAGTCCTGTCACAGTTGCTACACCTACTACTGCTCTCGGAACTGCCGCAGGGAGGACTGGGACGTCCATAAAGAAAGCTGCCTGTACGGAAGGATCGGCAGCACCTGTCGCCATATCATAAAACACTGCCGGGAGACCGTGGAGGTCCACAAGTCCTTCTCCCGCATTGCCAAGGTGGGCTACCTGTCTCGAGGCAGGGGAGTCCTGTTTCTCGGTTTTCCAAACCCGGCCTCGTCCAGCAACTTCCTGCAGTACGGGTTGAATAGTTTACTCATGTCTCCGACATACCTGTCCCTCCGAGAGCTGGAGAGCTTCAAGGACAACCTGGGGGAGTACTGTAAGGAGCTGCAGGAGGCCGGTAAAGAGTATGACCCAAATGAATGTTTTATCCTGAATGTATCTATTGCTGTCGGTGAGCAGTTGCCCGATGGGCCTTCGCCAAGGAACGAAGCTCCAACTGTTAGAAAATATGCAAAGGTTGCATTGGCTTCCTTTAGCCCGGAGAGAAAGGTTCACAAAAAGGAGAGCGAGATGGAAACTCTGATCCTCACGCCACCTCCCGGAACCGCCGACATCGACAAAGAAGGAGAGGAGGGGCGAAAGGCTCGGGAGATCTGTTTCATCAACATCCAGAGGGAGCTGAGGATCCGGGGAGTTTTCCTCCGCCACGAGTACCCGCAGGTGTATCAGCAGCTGTGTGAGTTTGTGGAGAGAAACCGACGGTTCACCCCCACAACTATTTATCCCATCGATAAGAGGACTGGGAAACAGTTTATGTGCATGATTATGGCTGCCTCAGAGCCCAGGACATTAGACTGGGTTGGCACCCCACATCTCCTTGACGACATTATATAAGTGAGTATTTTAGTATCAGAATGATTTATATTCATGTCTGTTTGGTCAGTATTATCAAACTTATTTTCTCTGGAGCAGGAAAAATACAGAACATAAAGTATTTATTTTCATTTTAAGTAAATACTTGATATCAACTCAGTTATCCATATCCTGGTTTTTCACTCTAATTCCGACCCCAACCGACATCCCGGTGTTTTTAGTTTTTCCCAGCTTAGCAAGTACTAATATATCTGCCTTTATACATGATTGTCCACATCTGTGACAACATGACTATTTTCATATGTGATTTGAATGGTTTATCATGCAGGAAATATGGAGCATTATTTTCTTAGCTAAGCAAATACTTTCTATGCAAAGTTGTGTCATTGTTAAATACCACATTCCTGCAGGTGGAGTGGCTTCTGTTGTCAATCTAGATATCATTGTGCTACACTTCTGTAAAGAAACAGACGAAATTGGGTCACAATTTTGAACCTTTTGGTGGCGTTCTCATCAAGAAGAACATTTACGACCAAACATTTAGCTCCAAAAGCGGGCTGGGCTAGGAGCCCCATACCGGAGCGAGTCTTTCCCTGTCTCCCACCGGCAGAGTTCGGACTAAAGCTTATATCAAGAGATCTTCTATTCTGCCTTGCAGAGTTTGTGGAGTGACGCTGGACTTTACAGTAACCTCCAGAATAGAAAATATAATGGTGCCAGTGACAAGCCCCACTTTAGGTGTCGCTCTGTGTGGTTCAGTTTAAACACTGTGAATAATGAGAGTTATCTAGGGAAAAAAATGCAATTTCTTTTTACATAGAGGCTTTTGAGTTGTCTTTTTAGATATATTTACATATAAATCTATAGGAGTTCTTGTCCTTAGAACAAAATGAGCCAGGTTTGGCACAGTAGCTATATTACGGGCTACCTAAATGCTTAACAATAAATTAGTTGTGCTTTTGTGCTGCATTAGGGTTATTACATATGAAATATCTGTTTTGTTTTAGAAAATCGTAGTAATTCCTTACTTATTGGGTTGAAAAGATTTTTAACGTTTCTTACCACTTAACCATGCTGCCTCATTCTTTTATTATTCTGTTAGGTTCACTGTTACTGCTCTGTCTTGAATTTATATTTGTAGCAACCCCGAGTTTTCCCGACACCCCAGTGGAAGATTAGAGCTGAGTTTAAAAAATGAAGAAGAAAAAATCACTCTTTCAGCCTGAGTGTAACGTCCGTCCAAATATCGCTATCCTTTTTATTTGAAAAGAAGTTTTGACTCAGAACATACCTGGCAGATGTGAACAGGCGAGTCAGGCTCACCGAGTCGTTCTCTTTTAGTGAAACCCCCTTGAAATATGGACTTTCCTGAGAGTTTGTAATACAATCTATAATGAAACTTGAAGCATATATATTTGACAGTAAAAAGCTGACTGGTTGCATGTGATTCTGTTTAGCTGCTTTCATCTGATTTGAACAAGACAACAACAATAATAATAATAACGTGCTTGATGAATGGGCTTGTGAAAGTGAAATTTATGCTGTGTATGAAAAAAAGTTTGTTTTTCCATTTTAATTATTAAAGTTTAAGCAACACGTCAAAGGCAACAAATAAGAGACCTCACTAAAATGTCTAGAAATTCCTGTAATCTTGTATTTTTTATACTTTCAACATACGTGTCTGTGTCTATTTATAAACCATGTTGAATAAATGGAATGGGAACTGCTTTGTGCCTTTTTTCCCAACATGAAAAGTGTCTGTTTGAGCCAGACAGGCAGGTGGGTCATTCTTTTATTCTCTAAAAAAGGTTAAGAGAATAAGGACAATATTGGTTTTCCAGCAGAATCAGAGGGGATTTGGGCTCTTTAAGGTATGAAGCAGAAAACATGTATCATACAATCATACCCACAATCCTACATTTACTACCGAGTTGTAATATTATATAGGGATATAATATTATCACATCACGGATGACGACGTTTTAACTAGTTTTTTTTTCTTATCTTGCTTTTATCAAGATGTGGACATGGATATGTTCATCCAGATGTATTTATATTGATCTATTTTCTGTATTGGGATCATTAGTTTGTCTGATTTGTGACGGACGGCCTCCTGGGACAGACTAGTTCAGCTTTCTGATTTCCGGCCTAATGCTGAGTCTCTGTACTGTGGGATTCTTTACTGAGACTGTATTCCCAGTGAAAAGAGGGAGACCAGTCTGCTAAGACTAGCTAGGCTAATACCTGGGGCTGCTACAGGTAAGGTAGGTAGTATTTATCTCTATATTTATTTATTCCCTTCTGGTTAGAGCTAAACTGCATTTGGTGGCCCTGTACCAATAAAGTCAAATCTAATCTAATCTAAAATCTAAAATAAGTAATAGTCTGGAGCTACAGAAATAAAACTGAATTGAACTTGTGAGATATTCCAGATTTTGTCAACATTTGATGTCACATTAAAGCCTCTTAGATCCAGAATCCAGGGCCTTTTTAAAGGTGATTATAGTCCTTCCTGGACTATTTTTCTCCCATTTGTTCATCACTTCTGTACAGCTTCTGGCACCAAAACAAGCGGGGCTTCCTCTCTTTCTCTCCGGAGGCTTAGGTGGGACTCTGTGGAGCTCCAGTCCAGCATGTGTGTCCAGATGTGGGATGGCTGACCCTGTGAGGACCGAACCCAGGGGTCAGGGTGGAGAGGCTGCCGTTTGAGTGGAGGTTTGGGGGCTTGAGAGGGGCTCAGTGTCGGGTCCTGACAGAAACAGGGGAGTGGGCCTGCATGGGTTTGTGTCTCTGTGTGTTCACTGTGAATATAGGTCATCCCAGTGAGAGAATATTAAGCAGCAGCTGCATATGGAGCATCCCTCCGTCCTCTGGCTGGCTCTCTGGACCAGCATCCTTTGCTGCTACAGGCAGTTTGACAGGACTGGTGACAATCTGATGAATACTTTCAGCCATCCGGGCTTTAAAAAACGTCAAAGCTGAACTTCACAATGCACTAAAGAAGGTCCAGCAACATAAAAAAAACCCATTGTAATCTAAAGTTTGCAGTTTCCTGGAGGGGAAACACCAGCAGGCTGATTTTCTTTGTAACTAATAACTCATTTCAGGCATAAAACAGGATCCAAAATTCAGATACATTTATCAAAAACTCCTGATAACAAGACAGGGGGCTTAGACACAAAGGAGAGGACCAGTCCCAGTCTACCCTCCAAGGATTTCCAGGACTACACGGAGCCTCCAACTACTCTCCATCCCCAGCTCCTCTGGGAGGAACCCCACAGACTTCTCTGGAAACTCCCCATCTTTCACTGGTTCTGCAGCTGGTAAGTCAGGTGTGGACAGAATGGGGTCTCATGGAAAGTTTTTTGCTTTAGGTCTATTGATAAATGAGAAAAGGAGTCACAGATATGAACTGTCACTGTCTAAATCTTCCTCAGCAAAGAAGACCATGTGCAGTTCATAAAGCTCCTCTTCATCACTCTGCTTCATCAGTTTGATGTGTTGCATCCTTTGTAAAACCTATTTAAACTGGGATTTAAAAAGCCAGCCAGCCCCTAGCAGGTCTCCAGCTACAGGAAGAAAAACCTGTGGACAGACACACCAATAATCCACCACAGTGTACGGGTATCCAGCTTTCTTTTCCTTTCTAAAGCCTCCAGGGTCTGGTCTTTTAACGGGGATGTGAAGCTGTCTGAAGCTTGGTGTTCTCATCAGAGAGCCGCTGGCCGCATATATTCTGAATCTAGATTCTGTCTAAAGGACTCAGAGTGTTCTGGGTCTGTGGGAACAGGTCCATGTTTCCAGTAGAACTCCTGGTTTGGTCTGGTAAAGCTTTTATTTTCTGGAGTCTCTTCTTTGGGCCTTTTCCCTTCTAAAGAAACTTTCCAAACACCTCTGTTTTTACTCCTTTTTCTAACTTGTGGGCTAAATTTTGGGCTCCGGATCCGGTCATTTTTCAAAATAAAAGATTGTACTGAACAAGTCTCCACCAGCTGCCCTCTGACCATGAGGAAGCCTCCTCTGTGAGCACTAAGCCCTCTGTCTGGCAGCCTAACGGCTAAATCGACACAAAACTGGAGTTTCTGTGGCATATTTTCCTGAATTAGTCTGAAACTGGTCCTGTCCAGCAGGATGAGTTTTCGTGGTCTAATAGATGGCAGATTGGATCATTAAAGGCAGAGATGTCAATAAAAACATTCAGAGTAGATTCATTCC